TTCATTAATTGATTAAAACTTGAACGATTGATTTGTGTGTACTTATAGCTGTGTCACATTTTAGCTGTTTTGATTTTGTTATTAAATTTACGGACTTACAAAGCTAAAATAACAGGGTTCGATTCCCCGCTTATAGACCATTGTGTAGTTTTGTGCTAAACAACAACGTCCGTAATTTCGATTCGCTTTTAAACGTGCGTTAAATGCATAACCCGTCTCACAAGTATACCTCAGAATATGCAATCATTATACGAAACTCTGTTATCATTAAGTAGCTTTTTTTACGAGAAAATGGAACTATTGGAAGAACATGAAAATGAATATAAGGCTACAGGGAGCCCTTAAGCGGCTTAATGATTGTTTATGATTGTGGGCGTTTAGCATGTAATGAGAAGCATTGGATATGAAGTGTACTAATGGTTTCATTAGAGTTTAGATTTTGTTATTCTCCTCATTGTTTGTTTTTAAATGTTGCGCTCAGTGGGAAAGGGGACTAACAAATAAAATGCCAAGCTTGGATCAAATGTTTCGAAGTCGCCAATAGTACAAAATATTCGAATTATTATCATTATAGAACTGAGAATATATTAGATTTGTATGGAAGTGATTAGAGTTTGTGATCACATGATTATTTAATAAATCCTAACAGAAGAGTTGCTAAAATTGTACAATAGTAATTACAATTAATAATGAATAGATATGTTCTCTGTAGAATGTACCGTGTTTCAGGTAAAAATGACAATATTTTGAATTTCTTTTCATTTTACAATAATCTCACTAAATGTCAGTTTGTAACATGATTTGCAAAATGAACATATAATTTTCCAGCAATTTCTATTTTTTTTTGGCTGAAGTGAATATCCAGTTTATTTTTGGCGTCAACTTGTGTTCGTAAATTAAATTAAATGACATACAGTTATCTTAAGATTTGAAAAAGAGAAATATTCGTATATATATTTCTCATGCTGGTGCAAACTTTATAAATTGTTAGCAGCATCGCATTATATTTATCACAAGTTTAAGTTGAATAAGGTTGGTGTTCAGAGTGTTACACCACAAACATTTTTTTTCAGTTGTGTCGATAAATACTTCAAAGAGCTCTAGCGTATTGTTTAGAATTTTAGCACAAATCTACACAAGATGGGTGTCTGCACATAGCAATCCCTAATTTTGAACTTATAGACTAGAGGGAAGGCAGCTAGTCAACAGCTAATTAATAGTGACGTTTGACGGCTACTCTTATAATGCACCCACGGCCTCAAAGGGCGGAACGTATTTTTGCAGCAACGGAACTTGAACCATAAGCCACTAGTTCATGCCCGTGTCGAATAAGTTGTTATGAGTATTCGTTACAGTATATCTTTTGTAAGGATAGGAAAAATAATGTTTTTTTTTAAAAAAACAAGTTCTGTCTTAAATATTTATAATGAAATTACCCATTTTCTTCTTGTTTTTTTGTCAGGGGAAGGTTATGGTGGGTTAAACAAGTTTAACGGAGTTAATGAAACCTGTACTGTAGTGTTTTGGTAAGTTAATCATAAAAAATATATATGCAAATGTGTAAATCAGCAACTTGTTTGCTGAAATTACCTGCTATACTATTCTCTAGTGGATTGAAGAGAGAACGTGCGAGCGAAGTGTACCTATATGTTGTATAAACTGTTGGTATTTGGTATTATAAATTGAACGGTACTTTATGTGACACATGGGTTAAGCGGCTGAGATAAAAGTATCAAGGTTTAGGGAAAACCATCTTAATTTAGAACTGCTCATCAGAGGGAGAGAGGACAACCAGTCAGAAGCATCCGCCACCTACAAGTCCACTCTGAATCGAATAGCATGGATTAACATTTACTTTGATAACATGTTCACAACTGAAAGTGTTTCACGATATATTGCAAGCTAAAACCTTGGATCTCCCAATTCGCAGCTCAGCACGCTAACGAACTAGGCTCAAAACTGTTCGTAATAATTCACTTAGTGTACAACTTCGGTGGTATTTCCAAAGCACTAATTTACTAGAATTGTTAATACAATTAGATATTATTCATGAAATACTTTTTGTTAGTATTTTTAACAGCTAAACGAGTTTCAACCAATTTACAATTAAAATTCATCGTTTGCATTCTATAGAATTAATTTGTTATTTGTTTCAATACTCATAATGTAGCTGAGAACACGAACAAGTAATAAAGTATGGGTATTATTATCGCGTTGATTATGAATTCGTATTTTTTAAATTATTTATACTATAATATATATATCTATATCTATGGTTTATGGAACCAAAGTTACCCTAATATCACGTCACCATATTCACTAGTGTTAAAAGAAACGCCTTCCTACATCTTACTGTGTTTATTCAATGTTCTATTCCCGTGTATTGTTGCTTTAATAAGGAATATTGCCTGATAAAGCTGGGTTTTCATTGTTCATTTATTATTTGAAATGCACTGTTTTTCGTCGATGTAAATACATTTGTGGAAATTATATCGTGTTTACTCTATACCAAGTTCTGAATATTGTATTGTTTAA